GCAATGTGTGAAGTCCAGCCTGAAGATGCTTAGTGTTAGTCTCATGCTTGTCTAGAACAGTTGCTGCATCATCCATTCTATGTTCTAGAAGAGTTGTACATTCTCCCACATTTTTAATTTTCTTAAGGAGTTCTCTGAAAGTCTGTTGGAAACCTCTGAAAGCTCCTACCTGATTATGTCCCATATCTTACCCAGGAGAAGAGCATTAGGGTTAGTACGTGTGTGCTGCAAGGCTAAGGGAAACTGCAGTGAGCTGTGTGCAGCGCTGTTAGATTCTCACATTGAGTATTTTGTGATTTCATTGGCTGGAGGGGCCAGCACCATCTTGACTGCCAACTTGCATTGTGGTTTTGGGTCTGTATTTTGCTGCAATTTGGCCCTCTCAGTTGCACCCATGGCTACCCAGCAGTGGCACAAGCGATCCCAGAACTAGTGATGCAGTCAAAGCAGTGATCAGGTGCTGAGTGCTTTGGCAGGAGGAGGTAGAGTGCTGGGGTTTACGGAGCTATCCTGGCCACCTTGGGCAGCCTTGTGCATGCACCCCTGGGCAGGGTAAAAGGGAACAGTATTTCGGGGTAGAATGGAAATCTAACCAGTAATACCAGTTTTTTTTTTTTTATTTCTTTTCTTGATGGTGAAGGAAAGCTGTAAGGTCATCCATTTTCATTGTTTCACTAATGAGGTGAACCATTGTGACAAAGTTTGTTTCAATAACACGAGGTATGGTAATAATGGCAGAAATAGTGAGGTGGATTAATAGTGGTTGATATGGAAAAAGAAAAAGAAGATTATATTGAGAGAGTTGTCTGTTTAAAGCATAAATAAGGATTCCCAGAAGATATTAGAAAGGGTGATTGACATCACCAACAGAGTGAAATGCTCTGTGGATATCTTGTGTAGCATATCTGGAGATTTGTACCAGCGTATAAGTAGTAGATATCCCAATTCATGTACCTTACTGGAAATTTAAAAAGTTGTGCTATTAAGAGGTTTCAGTCTATTTGATTCTGGGTTAAGAAAATATTTAGATCTTTTTCTCAAGCTCGGATGTAAGAGGGGAAATGAGTATCTATTTCTATTATGTCTACTGTGGAGTGAGCAACAAAAAGTATATGTTAATAGGGGGATGATATTAAGCAGAGTTTTTCAAAGTTTAAAAAGTTGTATATCTAATGGTATAGCATGAAGGTAGTGGAAAAGTTGGGGTAGATGCCAGTCAGCAAGCTAAACTGAATTTTAAGATAAGACTAGGAGTGGAGGTCTCCATCTTTTGCAAATTTGAGAATCCAGGAGAAATAGGTTAAGAATACAACATGATTTAATGTACAGGATGTGTTCCTAAGTGGGTCCTTTCATGGGCAACTTTCTCTTATAAATAAAATCCAGGCTGAACTGGTCACCATCTTGATACCCATAGACACCCTATGATAACAAATCTCAAATAAAGTGTTTATTAGCAGGATTAGAAGTTCCTGGCCAAAACCTTGTATTTCCTTCTCTTTTGTGGATGGTGTTTGCAGTGCATTTAAACATACACATTCTCATGTCTTAGTTGTACATTGCAGGTGACCAAGATAACACTTATTGCTTGTATCGTTTTCAATACCTGAGCACATTTTCAAAATCCACACCCAAGTTAACTCCACCAGAAAATAAAAAGAGTTGCGCTTATGGCTCAATCAAAAAGGAAAAGCAGCTAACACACCACTAGATATAAATGGTAATAGAGCATAGAAGAACAGTGCTGCACTAATCAAATTATATATATCATCATAACACAAATTTGTGTAATAAAAATAACTGATAAAGATAAAATTGAAGATAAATAAGAAAAAACAAGAGTGTCATAATGAATTATCAGTGATGAGGGTCTGGTATGGATGTCAAGGTGGATCCCTGACACAAAAAAAGACATGTGGTTCCTCTCCCATATTCTTATCAGACCTCCTAGGACTAGTATGGTTTTAAGGGGGGAACCTTGCACACGCAAAAAAAAAAATCACCCCCACCAATATTCATACCAGACCCTCTGAGCATGCAGACTGGTTGCCAAACAAATGTGTGTGTGTGTGTGTGTGGGGGGGGGGGGGGTGATCATGCAGTTTCCTCCTGAACCATAACAGAGTACTCCCTTGGGCCATGTCTTACCAAAGCACCTTGTCCCCATGTTGACCCCAGCTCCCTTTAACATAAGAGAGCTTTCTCCATTTAAAATAGTAAGGGTTACATAGTATCCCCCTTCTCTTTCACACAAAAAAGGTGAAACATAAACATACTTACAAAGTTTTTGACAAGTTGTTTATTGGAAAAATAGTCCTATGATGTAAATGCATTATCAGTCATATTGAATGTGGCCAGAAGATGTCACTGGTTGCTAAGGATGTGGGGGCTGCTGGCAACCACTACTTCCTTAACAACCATAAACAGGAACCTGTAAAAAGACTACTACTATACATGACCCCCGCCAAACAAGTCCAGCTTTGGGAAGAATGCCCGAATAAGCAAATTTTGATTCAAATACCTAACCATTAGTGTTTTGAGTCATGAACTCTCTCTTGACTCACACTTCCTAAACTGAAAAATACACAAGGCAAAATAAACTTTCTAAAGACTATTCTCCATCCTTATAAATTCTATCCCATATACCTGGTGTGTTTGAACTAAATTTGTGTGGGGAAAGTCTCTGCACTTAATTTCACCAAAAAATTAGAGTAAAGGGAAAAAGCAAAACAAATAAAAAGACTTCACTAGCTACTATAAGGCAGTTGATGCGACTATAGGAGTAAATGTCAAGTATCAGGTTGTAAATATTTTCATTTGTCAGCCTATATCTAATTTACCAGTTTGGTAAGCTTTTTGTTTTGCTCAAAATATTCACAATGATAAAATGTAAAATAACAAAAAAAACGAATTTCATTAGTTGGTAGCACTTTTCACTCAAGCATTATTAATAATCATTAGAATAGCTAAATAACTGCAAAACAAATAATACTTATAAAGTTATAGTGCACATTTATGCATTTATTATCTATCTACAGTATATCTGTTATTTTACTTATTTAACATGACTAAAATAAATCAAGGGATGATTCATTGAAGGAAATAGGTCATGAACTTAAGTTAAGCTGAGAATTTTTTAATAGATTTAAGCCTATAAAAGAAGTGATTAACTGCAAATGAGTCTTACAAGTGAATGGATGTCAAAAAGGTCAGTCCTGAGCCTTTTCCAGGAATGCCAAAGGCTAATACAGTAAAACATACATATAAGAAAGTAGCATATACTGTACATCTCATTTCACTGTGGCAGTTTTAATAAAGCAAAAAGCCGTATTAAAAATAATTGTACACTTACAAATGAAGTGGCCTATTAGTGCAACTACACCTATTACAGGTGAGGCCCAGCTGCCATCTACTATAGGTAGGGATAAGTGAACAAAGTTTGGTTAGCTGGAGGTTTGACAAAAAACCCAGTAAACCTGAACATAGCCCCAAACATCAATTGAATTCAAATTTGTTTTTTTTCCCTGAGATTTGTTTCATGAGCAAATTGTAATCTTTTTTTTAAAAAAAGTACATAGGTAGTTGGGCACTACCCTAAGGCACATGTACCAATGCAGAAACGTTTTTTAAAAATACTGTTTAGCAGAGTCTTTTTATGTGGCTTAACCACTTTACCCTCAGGCTAATTCTGAAATTTTTCACATACATGTAAAATTCAGCTTTTTGTGCTAGAAAATTACCTGGAACCTCCAACCACCAAGACGACATGTTTCGAGCAGTTGTGCTTTGTCAAGTCTTTGTAACCCTGCCTACGCTCCGAGCTGATCCGACGCCGGACACTGCCTTCCGCCCTTCACAACAAACTGGAGATATAAATATAAATAGCTACATCTGAAACTTTGATCCTTGGTTAATTAATATACCAAAGGGGCAGTTTATAAGGCTGAGAAGAAACTGCACAACAAAGGAATGTTATGAATTATAGGCACAACAGATGGGGGAAAGTGTAATTGACAATGAGGTAATGAGAAATCATTTATAGAAAAAAAATAAAAAAAGTGGAACTAATGAGCAGAGAAACCTTAATAGAAGATAAAAAGAAGACAAACACACAAGAGATGAAATTACCTATTATTCTTGACTATAATGCCCAACATAGGAAGGTAGAAAACATTTTTAAAAATATTGACCATTTTTGAAAGCTGACAAACACCTGAGGGCAGTGTTACCAGAGAGACCTCAGTTTATATATAGGAGAGCACCTACTATCAGGGACAAAATAATTAAAAGTGTATTAGATCCACCAGAAAAAAAGAGGATGGACTTTTTTTGAGGGAAAGGGATTTTTTTCCCTTTAAAAGATGCTATACATGCACAAGAACAAATAGAAAACAATTAAAAAGAAATAGTGTCATCGCAGTGTCTGCAGGGAAGGAAAACAAAATAAAAGAGTACATTACTTGCAACACTGAGGGAGTTTTATATATATACTCTAGTGCCCATGTCTAAAGCAATATGTGGGGAGAACTAAGAGATCACTCAAAATTAGAATCCAGGAGCACATTCAGAACATAATTAAAGGATCTACTAAACATCACCTGTCTAAACATTTCCTAAAACACCACAATAAAGACCCCACAAGGCTCAAAGTTTGGGGGGTAGAAGCATAGAACAAACACTGGCAAGGTAACCATAAACTCAGGGTCCTTAGCCAGAAGGATTTATGAAGTCCAGTATTTTGCACTGAAAGGATTAAATGTAGACTTTGACATTAACTGCTTCATTAGTAATTATTGAGTATCAGATTTATTATCTTTTAGGGGGTTCCATATATTCATCCTCATTGCATTTGGTGGCATATTTCATATGACCACATTTTGGCTTTGTCTTCTCCCTAATATGTCTCTTGGATTTGAACATTTTTTATCTCGTGTTTTTACTACATATGTAGTTTTGATAATTTATTTTAGTCATATAATTATTATGTATCCATGGTGCAGGGGCGGACTGACAACTCATGGGGCCCCCGGCAATAGGGGATCATGGGGCCCCTGTGTCCTTGCCCAAACTCAAAAAAGCCTATGAAAAAGGTACCAGGGGCATCTCATGGGGCCCCCTACTGACCCCCGGGCCCTCGGGCAGTGTCTGAGTTTCCAAATGGTCAGTCCGTCCCTGCCATGGTGTTACATTCTAACTTTTTACCTCTTGACATAGTACTGGTCTTCTTTACTAATTACATTTGTATTTTTAATGGAATTTTTTTCAGTTTTTATTCATGACAGCACCTTACCATGTTTTACTTTTTTTTTTTCATCTTCTTGTTACCCCCTCTGGATTGGCTGCATACATACTGTATATACTGAGGGGATTCCTTTTATGCAGTAATACATTTTTACCATTAGATGTCAGTGAGCTGGATTTTACCATGACGAGAGGTAATTATGGTGAGATGCCGGCGATAAATACAACCTGCGCATGTCACCTAGCTACCCCTGAGGAAGTCACGTGACTCATGACGATATATGCGGAGCTTGCAGTTTTACATCTTTGCGCAGTTTTCTACTGTCAAATGTAAGTACAATTTTAATAAACTATCAGTGGTTTTAAAAATGTGCTGCACTATGGTGGCTTTATATGGTTGTAGGTCTTACCTACAGAGTCTGTTATGCGGACAAATGGATAGCATTGAGGATACAATGGCCACAACGAGAGGCAAATTATAAAAAAGGAGAGGATAAACCTTACCCCTAGTAAGAGGGGAGATACCCATTTTGAACTGTCTATGCATAAGAGTTCATCTAAATATCATGGATATTGTGGTGGTGCACACTGTTTGAAAGATTAACAGCACCAGGATAGTGGGCTTACACGCCAGTAGGAAAACGTCTTCACTAGTACTTCTGAAGAGACTTTATTGAACTATTACTTCTACCCTATATTGTCAAGTCACTATTTATGTTTTGCACACTTATATGTTTTATGCAAACAGTTTGGTTTTCACCAGAGTGGATCAGGATTTATTTTGAACAGCGCAACACCTTACATTGGTTTTGTATTTATTGCATATTTCTTTAGTTAACGTGAAATTATTTTTGTCTGTTTTCAAGTAATTAACTTTTTTTTACAATTCTAGACCCAAAAATAAATTGAATTTTAAAAGGAATTGTTTGTCATATACTGAATAGGAAACCTCTGACTAAATAGATGCCCTCCTGACTCCAGGAGTCACACAGCAATTCTAGGGCAATCACATTCCTGTAATCAAAATTGAATAAGTGTTAAGTTGTCTTTAAACTCTTATGTAGCCAGGGTCATACCTTGGCTGTTTTTGTCATAGTTTACTCATGGTGGACATTGAATTATTTTCCAGTTATAGTTAAGGGTGGGGCCTAGTAAAGTCACTTCCGGTTATGGAGTCGCGGTCCAGAAGTTCGTAAGTATATGCTAACACATAGTTTTTACTATACAGCTATGTAAGAGCATATTTGGTGCTTTTTAAACTTTTATTAAATGGTGATACACAATTAAAGGTTGTTCACTCTTCCGTTATATGCTGATGCTGAGCGGAGAAAAGGTCCTTGCATGTGGTTATTGCTATCACCTATATCCATTATTAGCCCATTGCTGTGATCTTTTGGATTTATCATGCTAGTTAGACCTATGTATGTATATGTATAGGGTCCAAGACTTCAGGTGAGCTGCCTCCCTTTATCCAGGTGGAGGGGCATAGTTTGCAGTTTGGTATAGAGCACTATATACAAGTAGAAGCACAGAATATTTGGCCTAAACAGTTTTGAGAGACTGTTTGCACTTTTGCACTTTTTAGCACTTTGAACTTTATTAATATATTCATTTACTATATTGTGCTTTGATTTATACTTTGTATATTTTTATATATGTTTATGATTCATGCAGTAGCGCAACACTGATTCATTTTAAATTTTTTTATTTGGTGTGGGAACATTTAAAGTGTCTTTTGCAGCAGCTCACTATTCTTTTCATCAATTTATAATTTGATATATATTTATAGCATTTTTGGTAGTGCATATTGATTATTCTATTGTTAATGCAAACTCCTAATAAGCCATTTCAAACAAATATAGATATGTAAGTTATGAAATTGCATATTTAATAAAACTAATGCATAATGTAAAAATATTTTAGAATGCTACCTATTTTTATTATACAGGATGTATATAGTTCCATCAGTTTGTGCAGCACTTTACAACATGAGGGCAGACAGTATAGTTACAATACAATTCAAAAAAAGAGGAATTAGAGGGCCCTGCTCGTTAGAGATTTGTCACAGTGTAATAAAAGATGTTGAAAAAATTGACATTATGAGATTTGAGCAAGGTCAAGCTTTGTAACATCTTTCTACTTATTTGGACTTTGAAATTAAACCAGCTGATAAAGGTGGTAATGTGGCTATAATGAACAACAGCTCATATGCAGAAATATGTGAAAAAATCCTATAGAAAAGTTAAAAAAAAAATGATATAAAATCTCCATTACAGCTACCAAACAGCATTTAAAGGAAGTGTCAGGAATGCTCTCAGCACTGGTGGTGGGACTCGCCTGCCGTGTGGGCTGCAGTACCAGAGCTGACCAGCGGGTGCTCTCTCAGCACTGTGTGGGAACTCACCTGCCGTGTGGGGCTGCAGTACCAGAGCTGACCAGCGGGTGCTCTTAGCAGCCAGAAGCTCACAATCAGCCAAACCTAGGGCTGATTACAGAAAGGTGTATATAAGGCATGACCAGGCCTGTGCTCTGGGCCTTGGTGTATGTTTTCCCATGAGCCTCTGTACCTGTATCCTGTGTTCCTGCTTCGTTGCTGACCCGGCTTGATCCTGATCTCTGTTGACCGTCTCCTGTTCTGACTACTGGCTCATCCCTGACTATTCTTCTGCCTACTCCTATGCTGTTTGACCTCCTGTTGCTGTACCTTGGCTTGTGACCCGTTTACTCTTTGCCTGCTGCTCTGTACTGATCTGCCTCCACCGTTACCGACCCGGCTTGTCTGACCACGCTAACTACTCTGCCATCCATCCATCCTGCACGGATCCAGCCGTACCTGCACATACCTCTGGCGGATCCCCCTACCACTAGCAGGTGTACTCAGGGGCCGCGGCCTGGTCTCAGTCCTGCGCCAAGTCCATCCCCACCATCAGGGGCTCTGGTGAAAAGGCAGACTGGGGCTTAGACTCCGCGCCCTGGGGAATCCTGCCCTGGGGACCGCTAGAGGTACCACCAGGCAGTCGTTACAGAACCCTACGGCCGGCCTGACCATTCCACCTCTCCAGCCCTGACTACGTCTGTGTTCCTGCACCTCCTAAGATTAGTGGAAGGTTAGTTTGTTCACTGTGCGTTTATATAGATATATATCTGGGTGGCTAATAATAACCTGTATTGTATTGTACCTGAGACCTGCGTTTCCCTGTGTCAGTCCACACCTTTCTGGTCATTCCTTGATTCCTGACATCACACCAAGGCCTTTCCTGACCAGAAGTGGCTGCACAGGGAAGCCATCTTGACTTGTTGTGAAGGATGCATCCTGATGAGGTTATATATTTGTCTATGCTAGTCTTTGATGACAGGGAATATGCCTATCAGACTCTGCGCGAGTATACCCGGATCAGCTGCTAGGGTGCATACGGGTCGCTCATTCCCTAGTAGGTCAGGACCTAGAGCTCTCTGAGGTGCAACCATTGATTCAGGCTTGTATTGAGTTGGCTTCATCTAGTACCCCTGAAAGCAGGGATGAATTTCTTCCTCCATTCAGGGCGAGTCAAATAATATCACTGGTATGGTTGTTGGAGGATGATCCGGATTGCTTCTTGGAGCATTATTCAGCATGTTCACCACAGGTGCTAAAGAAGTGTATAAACGCAGTGCAAACTTTGACCAGACAGGCCTTGTGTAAGCTGAGCGTTGTCCAACCCTTACTGCAGACATGGTCAGACTTGTTACACCCCAGCCTCAATCAGCTTGCAACGAACCAGTCCTGTTTCTCATCATTCCTCTGCTCAAAGCTCTTTTCCTGCATTCCCGACAGCACCCCCCAGTGACAGCCCCCCCAGTGACAGCCCAGTATACCCAGCAATCTGCCACATGTCGGTACCCTACTCCCACTCACTGTACCATCCTGCCAGTTGACTCGGTGCCAGTTGACTCGGTGCCCGCTGTCGAGCCAGATGACTTGATGCCTGATGACTCGGTGCCCGCTGTCGTGCCCATTGACTCGGTGCCCGCTGTCGTGACAGTTAACTTGGTGCCCGCTGTTGTGCCAGTTGACTCGGTGCCCGCTGTCGTGCCAGTTGACTCGGTGCCAGTTGACTCAGTGCCTGCTGTTGAGCCAGATGACTTGATGCCTGATGACTCGGTGCCCGCTGTCGTACCAGTTGACTCGGTGCCAGTTGACTCGGTGCCCGCTGTCGTGCCAGTTGACTCGGTGCCAGTTGACTCGGTGCCCGCTGTCGTACCAGTTGACTCGGTGCCAGTTGACTCGGTGCCCGCTGTCGAGCCAGATGACTTGATGCCTGATGATTCGGTGCCAGTTGACTTGGTGCCCGCTGTCGTACCAGTTGACTCGGTGCCAGTTGACTCAGTGCCCGCTGTTGAGCCGGATGACTTGATGCCAGTTGACTCGGTGCCCACTGTTGTGCCAGTTAATTTGGTGCCTGCTGTCAAGCTTGGTGACCCGTACCCACGGTTCTGCTAGATGGCTTGGTGCCCGCTGACGTGCCCGGTGACTTGGTGTCCGCTGATGTGCCCTGTGATTTGGTGTCCGCTGACGTGCCCGGTGACTCTGTGCCCGCTGTCATGCCAGATGACTCGGTGCCCGCTGACGTGCCTCTGCCCGCTGCACAGCCCGACATGCCAGCCCCTGATGTCCAGTTAAACTGGCCGATAACTGATACCCAGCCTGCTCCTGGAAATCCTGTGCCCAGTGACCTGCCTTCCTGGGTTCTCCTACACAAAGAGAAGTCTACCAGCAGGAAGCCCAGCCAGCCGGTTTACTCCGGCAGTAGGATATTCAGCCAGTTACCTGACCCGGGCGGTGGAACATTTTGCCCACTAAGGACTGTTTGGAGCGTCCTGAGGCCGCTCCTTGAGGGGGGGGTACTGTCAGGAATGCTCTCAGCACTGGTGGTGGGACTCCTGCCTGCCGTGTG